TAGCTGTTGGCTTGTGTCTACCCATTGCTGTCACTCCTTCGGCAGATCGTAAAAATTAAAATAATTGCCACAAAAACTTAGGCGCATGCACGTGTGAAAGTTTTGTCATTATGCCAAGTATTGTTCGAGTAACGCACTGTCATTAATGGCCCAGTTTAATGGCCTTGGCATTGGGGGCCTTAATTTGCAGTTGCCTGTCGGTTAGAGCTGAGAATAGTGTCTCCGCGGCCATTTACCTCGGTTGAAAGCATATTCGAGTTAATGTATTTAACGCGTTGCAGTTATAACAGTTAAAGAGGTAAGGCTTTTACGCGTTATTGACAGCAGTTTTTACTTTAACATGGCTTGCCGCTGTTAATTGAGCGCTGTTAAGTAGCAGCTGTTAATTGAGTGATTCTATCGAACAGCTGTTGTTTGTTGTTCGCTTGGCGCAGATGGCGTATGAGTGATTTGTATAGCTACCTTGTGATATGTTATGCTAACAGTAGCAGCTACTCAGTTAAGTAGCCGAGTCAAAATTTGGGAAAGTGATATTTACTCTGATTATACATTCCTAGTTGAGACTTTGTTGAGCGCCTTGTCGGCTAGTTTCGCCTTTGCCTCTGCTAGATTTTGTCTGCTGTCTGATTTATGCTCATGCTCGCAAACATTTCCCATTTCCTGTCATAAAACTCACCAAAGCACGCCTCCAACTTCGAACATTTTGCGATTATAATCGAAACTTTTTATCGGCGTCGCGCGTCTCGTCGCGTTCTTGTCCAAAAACTTTTGCATTTCGCACGCGCTCAAAATTACTTTAGAACAAGCAAAGAGACTTTTCGCTGTCGTTATGAATACTCTATAACAGATGGTAAGAGGATATGTATCTTATACTCTTTAGATTAAAATGTATTATTTAATAAATTTATAAATATTATTTAAAATAAATAAAATTTTGAATAAATCGTAGGCATCATTTTATATTTAAAGCAAATAATCATCCTTAAGATAAGCATATCTATAAGCATAATTACTTATTTCTAATACCCCATGGTAAGAGTATTTAAAGTAATACCCAAACAACTCGATGCCATAGGAAATGCGAGAATTTCCCGCTCTGTCTGGCAGTCATTTGGCGCATTAGCGTTATAGAAACGCAATACACTTGGCCATAAGCATAACAAAACTTTCTAATTGAAACAAACAAACAAAAGACAATTTCATGAAGAGCGATTAATCTGGGTGGTACTCAGGGCGATTAATCAGCCGGTTGATTAGATTAGATGAGCTTTGTATTTTGATTTGTCGCCAGGTAAGACTGCTAATTACGCTAATTGTTATAACAATAAGCGCCGAGCAGCTGTGCCCTTTTTGCATTCAATGCGGCTGGCTATTGGCAACACAACTTTGCCAACCGAAATAAAACTCTATAGAACAGGCAACTTTTATGTGGAAAGTTTTAATGAGCATTTCAGCAAAAAATGTGTAAAATGAGCTTCGACTTTCGGCTCGTGGCGGCGATGATTCTCGTTCTCTGTTGGCAAAGACAGGAAAAACATGAATAGTTGGCTAATAATTATTTAAAGCCAGTGCAGTGTCTAAAAAGCGAATTTGGAAAACTAAGCTTGACATGTTAAATGCACTTTTAGGCACTGAAACAGGTTGAGGCTTGGATCTGGACCTATTTGTGCACTGTGCTGCAGTGTAAACACAATTCAATTAACTCGGCGATTGTTGTCGAGCGGTTGGCCATTGTTGTCCTCGTCGACCCAGCAAGGACGCTAAAATAACAGAGAGCTGAAAACTGAAAACTGAAAACGACAAGCCGATGATGAGGATGATGTTGACTAGGACGTTGACGCTGCTGACGTTGATGGCACATAGCCAATGTCATGCAAACCCAAAAAGAGTGGCATCCAGCCAGTCAGCTAGCCAGCCACATGCACAACAAAGCCCGCAGCCAGCAGGCAGCAACCAGCAAATGCTGGGCGCATGCAACAAGCTGGCAAATATTTGAGGCAGCCGCCGGCAACTCATTTGCATTATTAAAATTTTCATTTTGCGCTGCATTGAACCAAAAGTAGAGCCGTGCCTAATTGACTTATGCTAGAACAAAAGGGATACATATTAAATGTCCTAATGTGAGACACAAATCGCTTTGCGGGTATATTACTGAAAATTAAACTCAAAGTAATTAAGGATATTGCAAATTAATATTAAATGTAAAATTGTGGCCAATTCATAGCTGGAACTGGTGAACTGAGCTCAATATCAGGAAACTGCTCACCTGCAGTTTAAAGAGCAGCCAAAGCCAAGTTAAATGATGCCTGAAAGATCATCAAAGCACGGAATTGTATTGGCTAATGCTAAGTAAAAGGTCTGCTGTGCAGCGGTATTTGAATACCAAAAGTTAATGGACTATAGAATGAGAAAAGGGCTATGAGACGAAGCGGGATAAGCTTTACAAGTGATGCTCCGTTCATTCATCATATACGTGAATTTTCAAGCAAAGCAGCAGCTGAAGTGTAAATGTCATTGCCAGCCGAATGGCAGGAGAAGCTGCTGGGGGTGGGGGCCTTATAATCTTGTTGCTGCTGCTATTGTTGTTGTTGCTGGCAAGGAATGCGTGAAGCAGTCTCACTCCACCGACAGCTGGCTGGTGGCTGCGGTTGGCGACGCACGACTGCCGATGACACTTTAGCTGGAACAGCAGCTCCCAGCTCGAAAGGGTAACCGAACAGAAGGACAAGGACAAGGACGGCGACAGGAGAACACGGGGTGGCGTGCATGTTGTGAAGTGTGACTCTGATTTCTGGCCAGGTTGCTGACGTGGCACCCACAGCAAACGTGACTTCTGCCAAGAATAATGACTTAATTTTCAACCACATACATTTTTGGCACTGTCATGCCTGACAGCTGCCTTTTGTCTGCCACAAGACAACAATCTTAAAACTTTCAACGAAATCAATCACGTTCTCCTGCTCCACTGTGTCAATAATAATACTTAAATCGGAAATTATCTCGATTTGTATGTAATGAACTTTCTATACAGAATTTTTGTGTATTTTTACCAAACTAATTTTAAATTCTCAACTCTCAGAAAAATATAAAAATACATATATATTTGATGCGTGATATTTTTTGTTTATCTCGCACTTATTTAGGATTTAATATATTTATCTTAAAGCAAACATAAATATATATATATATATAGACGATATTTGCAGCTTAGCTTTATTTATATCTTTTTTAGTAGCTATAAATAACTGTAGCGCAAATACTTATTTTTATTCTGCTTTAAAATTTCATACATACTTCTGCAGACATTTGCTATTGCTGCTGGTCGAGTTGAGGCCAATTGGCTGCGCGGGTGGCTGCCTCTTGCCCAGTTCTGCTGAAATGTTTCAATTTTCTGCCACATCTCACAGATGCGATTGGGTGTGTGTGTGTGTCGGTGCGTGTGTGCGCCTATGGTGCGTATGATTGATATAAATTTTGCTTTGATGAATGCCCTATGGAATCGAGTTTTTGAGCTTTGTTATTTATAGGCATCTTTGTCGGTTGGTGAGCCAATTTAGTTGCTAGTTGTGGCTTGTTAAACGCTTTAAAATGCCAGCTCCATGCCATATTGCACACACAACGTAAACTATGCCAACCAGTGCGACCGAAGGTCTAGCCAACAACTTTTGTGTACATTAAACGCCCCAATATATATACATATATATACATATGCAGGCATGTGTGTGCGTATGTAGACGTATTCAAATCAGAGTGCCTTTTTATGGCACATACACACAGCATTTCCATATCAAAATGATTTTGACCAACCAAACAAGAAAGATGACTTCTGCTGAGAAGCCGAAGAATGAATACTCTATCGAGCAGAAAATATATTTTGTATAGCAGCAAATAGTATAGTACCTTTGTAAGATGTTTCTTCGTTTTGGAGCTATGAGCTTGTTATCATGTAATCTCAACTATATGAATCAAACGTCAATTTATTTACCCATTCAATTCGTTACCTCTTTCACAACAAATCGACATAATACCCTCCTTCAGAGCACATCGGGTTAGAGGCATAAATTATTTACTCTGCATAAAAGTAAAAAGCATTGACACGTTTTGGTCAAAGGCAGCAGCAGCAGCACCAACGCCTCAACTGGAAATTGATTATTCTATTTATTTTATTTTATTTCTCTTCTCCTAGTGCTCATCAATTTTGTCAACATGTGTGTGTGCGAGTGTGAGTGTGTGTATGGTAAAAAATAACTACGCAATATTTTGTGCACTCAAGTTATATTGACTAGCTGATAGAATGCATAAATAATACATAGTCCTGCTCTAATCCCAGCCGGCGGCACTTTATCGACCACACTCTCACTGTAAATGCCTTGTGATTTATTTCTTGTGCATTGCAACTAAATGCATCTCGGAATAAATAAATATCAACATTAATTGAACGTTTATTTGCCATTCGGTTAAAGGTATTTCTGCCTAATCTGCACTCATTCATTATTTGCATGTTTGGTCTGTGAGGATATTTGTCAAATATATAATTACATTAATTCCTTTGACTGAATGTATGAAGAATACTTTAAATTGTATACCTTGAGAGCAAAAGACAAGTATTTTATGCAGGCTCTTTTAGTTTGGTTTTATATAAAGATTATATAAATTTTGTATAATTTCCAAACACAGCTGGTGGTTGACGATGATGGCCATGATAGGGAAGATTGTGAGAACTGGAACAGATTAAGCACTTGACCAAAATCATTTCTATATATTTATGTCATTAAATCGTCTATATAATAAAGCTCGTTTAATTGACAATAAGAAGACATATCTTTGTTTTATTATGATTTAAGCTTGTGTAACTTTATAAAACCCTTATCTATATAGTAAAATTTCATTAAGTGAACTAAGGTCAACTATAGTTGTAAACATAATAAAGCTTAATTCAGTCCACTTCTATAATTTGGTTACCCATTCATCAGATATACTTATGAATATTTATCCTAACAAACTTCAGCTATGTTACCAACCCAGTAGTCCATATTTGTGTTTTTAAAAATTCTAAATTATTGACTGAACGTAAAGTTTTTGGGCATAAATGTTCCACGTATATGTTGTCCAAGCCCGAGACAACTTTAACGCAGGTGAATTTGATACGCAAGAGTTATGTTTATTCTATATAAATTTGAAATTCGATGCACTGGGCCTAAAACTAAGTCTTAGTAAGAGATATGATTAGATGGTCTTGCGGGGACGTCGCTGGAGTCGAGTGCGTAGCATTTTGTTTTCATCGGCACACTTGGTCGTGATGGCTGTGCGCACCTCTCGTGGCGTCATCTGCATGCTGTTGGTCATCAGATAGACCAGGTCGGCTACTTTGAGTGGGTCCAGCTGTTGCTTGCTGGGTCGAGCGCAGTCTTTGAATGCCGGCGACGGCTTGCCCGAGAGCGTGTGGAAGGCCAGAGTATCCCGATCGAAGATTTCGCAAAGCAACTTGCGGGTTATAGCCGGACCTGACATGGTCCAGTTTAAGCTTTGCAAGGAAACACGCGATATCTGTGTGCCGTTGGGTCCAATAGTGACCATGGGCGATTTGGCATAATGATCGAATTCCAAGTGTGGAAAAATGAGTTTGCCATTTGGCGTGGATGTAACAAGCTTCTTTAGTCGCTTGCGTTTGTTGCTGCTTTCGGCGGCGTGTGGCATGTATTCTTCATCGTCATCGTCCAGTTCAACAACATTTTCATTCTCCTTCTCATCGTCGTCGTCGTCGTTGGTCTTGGGCGTTGAGGTGTTGTGCTCATCAGTGCCATCGCGGAACAGATCAAATTGGGCCACTCTATGCTCGTGCGCTTGATCCATGGTCTGCACCTTCTCGATCTCAATGGTGAGCAAGTCGAGAGCCTTGCGCTTGCTGCGCTCCCAACGCTGCAGCATCTTCAGTCGCGCTTGGTTCAGTGCCAGAATGTTGTTCTCCATGAGTTCTCTGCGGTCCAGCTTGGCCAATGCTGCCTCCTCATCCATGACCGAGTCGCCCTCGAACTCGTTCTCATCTCTCATGTTGTCCTCATCCATCTTGCATTGTGTCTTTAACAGCTTCTCAGCAGCCAGCGTCAGTGTAGCCAATGTGCTAAGCATTTTCTTAGGTTTCGGATAGACAACACCTTCAGCTTCCTCAATGCAGCGCATTGTGTGCTCGGCGAAGCCAGCGGCAGTGCGCTGCTTCTGGCGCACCTTCTCATCATCGCTCTCCTCCTCGGCAGAGGTGTCATCTGTTCGTAGTCGCGCTATAATTTGCTCAACCTGCTTTTGCGCCGGGGACAACTCCACCCTTTTATGGTCGTATGGCAAAATGCTGAGCGCGAACTCCAAGCGTTGACGACGATTAATCTAATGGTAGAATAAGTTAAGTGTCATATAGGAATAACACAAAGGCAATCTTCTTATGTGCAGACTTACCATATTCACGTTTGTTGTCCAGTTGATGACTGAATGCCCTGCTTAATAAGATACGCTCTTATATACCTTTTCCAAAACGTTCGAATAGGAGAACAGGTACAATATGACGTATTTATTGGTCTTCGTTTTGCAGATGTTATACGCACATATAGCAAATACATGCTTTGAACCGGCTGTATTGGATGCATAGGCAAGAAGGATCAGGCTCAGCGGCGATCCAACAAAATGATCGCCTACCTGCATGCGGATCGCCCCGCAGATGTCACTACAATGATGAAGTCGATAATAAGCTGTCAAATGTTGATCTACCTGATCAAGCAACACGTCCGACTTGCATAGTTTTTGACGAGCTGCAGCCAGTCTCAGCTCAGGAGAATAGCTTTTTACCGAGCACCCGTCCAGCTGTTCATCACAAGGCAACCCAAACCGATGGCCATCTTAAAAAACCAATTCAAATTGTTGAACGAACATCGGACCACATAAATCATATTACTGCGAGTAGAAACACTTTCACAGAGCCTAAGGAGCTCGAATCGAAAGAGCAAAATATTAATGAGCAGAATGAGAATGCAAACAAAGTAATGCGATCCGCTATATTGCCGCATGAAGACAATGCAGTAAATGAGCCTCTCTCTGATTGTTATACTTCTACGCACCACAGAACACCAGTTGACGGACCCGATTCTACACCAAACAGCTCTAAAACAGAACATAAACATCTTGGCTCCAATCTCAGGAATATCATTCAGGTCCGCGAGGAATCTAATACCAGTTTATCTAAACCGATCAACTCCAACCCAGAAGGGAGCAAATCCGTTAGATTTCACAAACCAACCTTATTCAATTTGAACACACAAAATGCTGTAGAAAGCACAATCGATTGGGACCTCAAACCTCATTTTAAATCTCATCCAACAATAGTTGTGAACTCTGTTAAGAAGAACGATACCACCATACAAAAGCCACTAAAGACTGTTTCTAGGGGAACAGAATACAAGGGTAAAGAGGTGGACAAATACTTCAGCTGTGAATCCCTACCGCAGTTGAACAATCAAATTAACAGAATTCAATTTGAGGTTGACAGACTTGAGGCAGAAGTGAATGAGCTGCATACCAATATAGCTTCGCTTAAACCGAAAAACATCATGCCAGCTGAAGAGCATGTAAAAATTGGTCCAGTGGACAATAAATCAAGAGACTTGGTTATGCTATATAATGACGGGGCTTTGAATGCTTCAGGCCAGTGCCAAAATGATTGGCAAGTTTACAGAATACCCAAGTCAAAGCACGCTGCAAGGGCTCTAATCCCAGCAAGCCAACCTAAAGTGAATAGCTTAAAAGAACCAGTCCAGCACTATATTTGCAATACTGCCCAAAGATTGATTGATCCTAGGACATTCACGGAGTGTAAGCAGCACCACCAAGGATGCTCGTTTCTCATAAGGCCTCATTTCCAGAGGAGCTGCCGTTGTCTACATACTGAATCCACAACTCAGCTGCCCCGTCATTCTTCCAGTATTTGCCAAGCTTGTCCAAATAAAGGTCAGCTTGTGCTCAGTGATCTGTGCTCTGAGATAAAAAAGTTGATTGGGCATCGAAGCTTCAACGATATACTGCTGGCTGTTCTTCTCCGTGCTGACAATGTCTACCACGTAAGCGTGCAAATGAAGGTATCGAACCAAGTTCTTGGCTGTTTGCTCGTTAGTCACGCGGCCATCGATAAAGCCATTAGCCAGGGCTTATTCGATGACATTCTCACCTATTGTGCAATCGACGTGCGTAATGGTAACAAATCAATTAGCCGTCCATTCGGTAGCTCATTTGAGCTTACAGCGCGCTGTCGCTTAGCTGGTGCTGGAAATGCTAACGAATCTCTTAACAAGTTGGATTTAAGAACAAGAGAGTTTATCACAAAAGTACTCGGAGTATCCGCTGACAGAATAACTCTAAATTAAGAGCCATTGATCATTTATAGGCACATGGGCTTTGCAAATCAAATTACTATTGACAAGTAAAATTTGACAATTTGAATACTCGAAAATATTGATCAATCGAAATAAGCCAAAATGTCTTCTATCAATTATAAATTGTAACTAACTTCTTTTAATTCTTTCTTTAATTCTTACTGTATTATTAAAATTATAAGTAACATTTTATACAAATTATTATATTATTATAAAATGTTTTTTTATCTTTAAATAAGCAAACAAAACAAGTAACAATGTTGCAGTCGAGTCCCACAAATGATAGCGTTCTGATCTATATAGATTTATAGATTATATAGTTTAGGATATGTTTTGTCTTTCATCAATAATCATCTTTTCATTAATAAATATATATATATATATATGATAACAATCCTTTAAGCTCTTCAACTTTTAAAACATATCTATATTACTATATATATAGATATGTCTTATCTTTATATATATATATATATTTTTTTTTTTGAATCTGACTCTTGGAAAGTTTTCTAGATGTGTGTCAAAAGGCTAAGACCCTTCATTCCCGCTTTCCGAAAGGTGCAGAGGAATTGGATTTATAGTAACATCTGTTGCAATCAAGAACTCTAAAATTCTGCTGGCACAATCCAACGTAATAAACAATAAGTAACATATATATTTGGAAACATAAGCTACAGGCATAGATCACCTATTTGCTGCAGGTACATTACGAGCAACAAAGTCTGAAGCCTGGCGACAAAATCCTTTATGGCTGCTAACCCTAGCAGCTGCGCGACATATCAGCAAATGGGTTAATCCGCTCAACTGGACAATCATAAAACTTTGATAGCTTGACTACCTGAGGTGAAGAGGTAACAGATTGCTGCTCCTTAAAAGGCTGCGATGGAGTGCTGCGATCATCAGTTTGTTGAGAGCAAAGCAACAAAGCGTATCGAAACGAACAACTTCCAGAAAAATATATTAAAATCTTCAACCATGAGCAACATAAGCAATGATAGTGGCTTGGATGACTCGGCGATTTGTAATGCAGGCGCTACGCCAGCAACGCGTCTCTCATGGTTTCTGGCCGAGGTGGACGAAGGCTCCATGGAGAAAGGCGAGCCAAATGGTAAAAAGCGCTACTGCGTGCTGCACAGCATGGAGCTGCTGGAGACAGACGTATCCGACAAGTATATGACACGATTTGTTGAGTTTCGCGTCAATGGCGTCAAGCTGGAGGCAAAGCTCATTTTGGCCGCTGATGAGCGCCGGCTGGTCGACGCCGCCCTCTTGGCCATGAGCAAGGAGCAGCACGACGAAGATGATGATGCACGGCAGCTGCTGGTGCAATACAACGAAGAGGATGCAATGGGCGAGCGCCTGGTGCAGAAGATGGTATCGCCAAACCGCGTTGCTTGGCTGAGCACCAAGCCAGAACTAGGTGGCACGCCTCTGGTCAAGCTGGGCCCGGGCTGCATTGGCCATGTGCTGTACGCCTACGAGCAGCGAAACTATATGGAGAAGGTGTTGCTGCATCTGAAGGCGCGCTGCTTTGATCACGCCTTCGATGAACACTTGGACGCTGCCCAGGAGCCCATGGACAACAACACTTGGCTGCTGGTGCAGTACAGCCCCGAGCCGGAAATGGTTGTTTACCAGGTAATACCCTACAGCCAAACAGTGTGGCGACAGGAGAATCACTTCAAGGACGTCATCGCCTACATACAGCTGCCTGGCAACGAAGTCGTACTGCAGGCTGTTGTCATCAGCTACAGCCAAGATGAGAAGCAGATGAAGAACAAGTTCAATCAGCTACGACGCTATGCTCTCGAGCTAGAGTTTCCGCTGCCCGACGAACTCGACCGTCAGCTGCAGCACGGCAGCGGCACTGCTGCGCTCTTTGCCCGCGCCAGCAACACGCTCTTCCAGCGCGCCGAGCAACGAGATGCCAGCGGAGAGCACAAGCAGCTGCGTCGCAGCCTCGAGCAGATGAGCGAAAAGGCTCAGAACGAAGCCGAGCTGATCATCGAAGCCTTCGACATGGTCGACAACATCAACAGAAATCTGAAATGCCGCATGGATCAGCCTAAGCCTGAGATCGCTTCCAATTCCGGCGACGAACTGCATTAAGTGTTTGTGCACTGCTTATGTTAAGATCTAATTGAACATAGTTCTATAATCTTGTTAGTAGCTTTTAGTTTTTTAAGTTGTAATTTTGTAATACATAAATATATATGTACAATTCTAAACATACATACATTTAGATTGGGTTGAATGATTTCATTTTTGATTATATTTGGTATGAGCATTGAATCATTGAAAAAGATAAATCAAGATAAAGCATCAGTTGTATTTAGAAATTTTTATTAGACAAAGAAAAACTATAATATTTCTAATAACTATATATAAAAGCAGCCACAGATACCACAATAATTAGCAGTTCAAATAGTTAGTAAGATTACGACTCGAGTCCAGTCTCAGGAGTTGTGAAGTTTGAGCACTCTTTTAGATTTAAAATCAATATTCAGACGCAGATTGGTATGAGCTGAAACTGCCAATAGTTGTTGTGTCATTCATTATTAAAAACCACCCAGCAATGTAGATACAGCATTAAGATTTGGCTTAAAGCCCTGCCAACATAGCCAGCATAGTTTATTCCATTTGAATAAAATACTATTTAATATTTACTGGCATTGATGTAACTGCAAAATTAATTTAAAAACAAAGCAAAGTATTTCAGTTTCATTGCAATTGCCATGCCTATCCGTCTTACTTGGTCACCATAAATTAAGCTCAAACAAAATTCCTTCTCTTTCAATTCAAGGCAACATGATCTGTGCTGCTTCGAAGATACTTTGAACATACAAAGTTTCCTCTTCAAGTTCGCTCTAGAAAATTAGCATAAGAACGACTTCAACTGTTCGGCTTTTATAAATGAGGGTTTTCTTCTTTTAAGTCCGCATTCATTGGTAGCATCGTCATTAAAACGTCGTAATAGCCACAAGCCGAGCAATGGGAGGAATGCAACAGCCGTTGTTAGTGCTGATTCCGTTTCGTTGAGTCGTAAGTTCAAATTAATTGCATGCATTTCGGTTGGCTTAAAGCGCCAAGACCAGACATTTTGCATTTTAAATGGCAACTGGCTTTAGCCGTGGAATTGGAGAGCTGCGCTCTCGACATAAACTCTTGATAAAAATGTAATTTTGGAGCACTGTGTTTTTTCATACACAAGCAATTGTATATATGCAGGCGACTCTCCCTCTCTCTCTCCCTCTAGATATACACTGCTTAGCTCTTGAGTCCCACAGAAAATGCTACACTTGGATGTGCTCAGTGGGTTTTCGGCTACGTCCTAATGAGCATTAAAGCCTGTGGCTTCACTTTGTCTCTCCCTCTCTCGGGAGGAATGCTCGGCTGTTGCATTTGCATAAATTGAAATTGTAAAATGACCGAAAATGTCGTTGCGGGTGGTTAAAATAAAACACAATTTAAAAGTAAGCGACAAAAGTATAAGTAGAGCAACTTTCTTATACCCTGCATTTGGTATTAAATATAAAATTTATCCAAGCTCTTTGCTTAATGTTGTTGCTGTAAACTTCGAATATGAATTCTTAATCATTTCATTATTTAAAGTAGACTGAGAAATTGGTTTCTGAGATGCGAGTCCATTGAGTTTAATAGCTAAATAATACAGCTTTTATATATGCATATTATATTATATATTATATATTATATCATTTATATCATTTAAGTCTTGGTAGTAGAATTTCTTTAGTTAGAAGATAGAAAAAAGCACTCAATTCGGAGTATCGATTTGCATTCACAAACATTTCATGGCTTTAGAACTTGCAGCATATCAATAAATTACCTCATTATATTTTTATATCAATCTATGCTTTACAATATTTATCTTGATTTGTACATTTGTTTTAAATTTATAGAATATCACCTAATTAAAAACTCAAACTTTCAATTGGGTTAAAATTCACAAAATCCGTTACATGCTCTCAACTGCAAAAAAAAAGACTTCTTTATATCCATCACGCCCATTAATAATTCCATTTCTAGCAGGGTATTTATGAGTGGCAGACAACATTGGCATATTATGCTTTTAATTTAATTGGTTTACATTTGAAATGAAATGAAATTTGGTTGAAGCTAAGCGTTAATTTGGCTTTTTGTGAAATGTTTTTGTTTTCATTTTATATGAACTTCATTCAACTTTTGTAGAGACATCCACACGCACACACACACTCATATATAGATAGATAATCTGCTGACACTCAATTTGGTGTTCAACAAATTCCCACTGTTTGCTTTTGATTTTTTGATTAGTTTTTTATTGATTTACCGTGTCGTCGCACAACGTTTGAATTCAATTTCGGTATGAACAGCACTCTAAGCACTTCGACATTAATCTGCCATGAGTTTGTTTTCTTTTTGTTTTTCTTTCCTTCGTTTTCCTTTTTTTTGCTCTTGCGAAACTCTCATCTCTGTTTGTCTATCTCATTCTGGACCATTTAATGCGGCGTATACGCAATATCTGACAAGGCACGGCACGTTGAAGCTGCAGGAACGGAAGCACTAAACCAAACATCAAAATAAACAGCACACTTAATCGTATATAAATGTTTATATTTACCCCGTAGGCAGGGCAGTGGCATAGTTTTATATCTCAATCGAAACGTTTGCGAGAACCAAATAAAAATAATCAGCGAGTCAATAGTATTCAGCAGCGTGCAATTCGAAGAGATTCCAGGGAAGCAATGCTTAAGTCTCATGTGTGTACTAACACACACACACACATGCACACATAAATATTGATCAAATTGTTGTTGTTGTTATTGCGTTTTATGGCAGCGATATGATAGGGTGATTAAGTGGTTAGTTTCATAAAAGTCAGCGGGGCGTGCGTGTGTTTAGGAAGTATCAATGGAATTCCACTTGGCCAAGTTAAAAAAAAGAAAGACGGAAATGCTTGACGCTGCGTAGCAGAAAAATGTGTGGGAAAATGCCACCCACAGCTCATTAATGGATCTCAATAAATCGTATGTACAGCTTTCATTCAATATAAAAGTGAAAAGAAAAAGTATAAAAGCAATTCATGATAAATTGAAGAAAATTTTAGTTCATATGGAAAATGGGTATGATAAAAGCTGCCGCAAAAGAAGAACTATTTAAAAAAGGCTTACGAGTAAACTTAACCCAAAACGAACTTCATTAATTACCAAGAAATAAATCAATAGCTCTTTATGAAGCCAACGCAACTTAAACTTTTACAATTGCAAAGTTTTTGTCTTCTTTTCTCTATTGTTTTGTGGCTTTTGTTTTATTGTTGTTGCTGCTGTATATATTTTATGCTTTCACACACTATCTACTTTCAGGATTCTGAGCATTGAGGCGACAATTTGACATGCTAAAGCAAAAAGTTGCATTCGACAGATAACAGGGGCGAGGGTTAGCGAAAGAGGGAGCTCAATTTAGTTTAATAAACCCACACACAGCATACATTCAAAGTCAGCTCCAGCGTCAACCTCAGCGCCGGCCGCCTGCAGTGCACAACAGGAGCCAGACAGACAGGCGACAGTCAACAGATGAAGTAGAGTGAGATGATGGGGGCTGGAGACACAACAGCTGGAGCTGGGCGTTTGCGTGTGCCTTTGCTGTGGTCTAATTTGGAAATTGTTTGTCTAAGCTCTAAGCACAATAAATCCAGCTTTGGGTTATAACTTTTATGGGTATGCAAAAAAAAAGAAAGAGCTAGGAAAAATGTCAGTACAACGCACACTGTGGCCACATGATAAAGCCAGACAAGGGCACTGCAGCAATTACCAGATGCAACATTTTGTTGCATGAGCTGTGCTGCAATTTTAAATGCCTTGGGCGCTGGTTGTAAGGGAACCCACAGGAATATCAAAGTGCTTACGTACTTGCGGTTAGTTTTGGCCAACCACAAAATCAGCTAATATGTATGTGTGTGTGCGTATGTTTGTTACAGCAACAACAACATTATCAACATCATCATCACCATCATCATCATCATCAAGAGCTCGTGCAAACACTTGACTTTGTTGTATTTTTCGCTCTCTTATTTGCCATTGCCATTTGTTGAAGCAAATTTTCTTGATTGCCTTGGCATTGGCATTTGCTTGTTTTCTGTTTATGCGTTGTCATCTTTCTCCTCTATGTTTTCTTATTATGTACATATATATGTTTTTTGTTGGCCTCCTTTCCTAGGCTACTCACTGATTTTGACATTTCACGCGCATTTATTTTTTTGCATGTTATTTTTTATTTCCACCAAAAAAGGTCAACATTTACTTTCACTACGGGTTATGGGCTGCTCTTTTGCATATACATCTATATATATATATATATATATATATATATATATATATATATATGTATATATATGTTTATGCATAGCCATAGGCATGTCTTGAATTGTCTGCTTAATATCTGCGACTAGGACACGCGCTGCCCAGTCACTCCCCAGTGGCACATTTTTGCTTAAGTAAATTGATTCGTAGCGTCAGATTGCGCCTCCAAGTACCGAATTTCACTCAAAATAATTATGAATGAATTACCAGCTCAGCTGTTGCTGTTGCTGCTAAACGTCTGCTAACCGTCTGTTAACTCGGCCACTCAGCTAACATCACTCGGCGCAGCCTCTGGCAGCTGAGTGTGTGTGCCTGCAGTCTGCCTTCTGCTTCTCAGTCGAAACGCGGACGTTGAGTCGAGAGCACACGCGACGCGCATGTTTCTGCGACGACGCACCGAAAGCACGAGGCACTCTAGGCGTATACGCGATTGTTTTTAACATTCGGCGCTAAGTAAATAAAATGGTTAGTTGCCGCATTGAGCCACAAACGATCTAATCAGCTTTATTATGACAGCCAATTTGCTTATTTGTTTACAAAAAAAAACCTGGAAATAAAGAAAAGAAATACGAAAATTGCACGTTATATTTATTGCACGTTATAAAGAAAACCTCAATCACAGAAAGATTTTGGTTAATCAAATAAATAAAACAATAAAAATCCATGCAAAGCTAAATTGACAGCTTTGAAGTATATTTTTACTGTATCAAAGTTTGTTTATAAATCAAAAATATAGCTGAATAAATACAATTTATTTAAAGGCATGAACTTTGCATATGTGAAAAGAAACGAAAAAAAAAACGTTTTCAAAATATCAAACGGGCATGATATTTATGAAAATAAATGTAAGAGAAATATGTCTTAAAAAACTATATGTTAAACATGTTTATATATTTCCATTTATTCTTAGAAACCAAACAAATTTTGATGAATAAGAAAAATAATTATAAAGGACATAGTATTAAAAAAATATTTTAGCAATGTTTTATTTATTCAAAAAACTCAGCACATAAGTAAGTGCAAATTAAAAAAACAATAACTTTAATTGAGAAGTAAATAAAAATAGTAAACATTAAATAAATTTACAAAATACTAATAAATCAAAAAACCAACATATATTAAAAAAACAATAACTTTAATTGAGAAGTAAATAAAAATAGTAAACATTAAATAAATTTACAAAATACTAAAAAATCAAAAAATCAACATATAAAACCAATAAATGCTACACAATACAAAAGTAAATAAGTATAAATGATATTTTCCTAAATACAATGTGACTTTAAATATTTATAAAAAAAATAAACAAATCGAGTCATATATTAAATGACATGAGACAAAACGCTGCTTGCCAATGTCACAATTTGAGGTGATTGCATTAGATCAACGTCTTTTTAGGGCCTCGTCCGCCCACTCTTAGACGCTCTGCTCTTATCCAGTTTGGGGCACGTGAAATCCATATTGATGTTCTCTCGCGTTCCTCAGCTTCCATTTTCCGCTGCTGTCAACGTCGGTTCCTGTGCTCGGCTCTTTGTTTGATTTGCATATTGCTGCTACCTGTCTGAGCCTGAGTTGCGACACACTCACAGGCGAGCACAAAGGAGCACAAAAAATGTGTATAAACAGGCAACAAAACGTGATAAAATAAGCGGAAAAATAGCTGACAAGAACCTCCAGTAAAATAAAAAAAAAAAAACGAAGAAAAAAGAAAAATATAAAAAACATTTGCCATACAGAACAAAGGAAATTATCTGACCAGCGGCCCGGGGCGCAGCTCTGCCTTCATCCCCGCCCGCCACACTTACCTTTGTCTAAGCCTGGTGCCCCACAGGCGCCAGTGACAAGTGACAGTTCTGTTTGTTTTGCGGTGGGTGGCTAAGCGGGCGGGCGGGTGACTGTTGAGCTTGACGGTCACTCATATAGGCGCTGTGGGCGTGGCGTGCTGGTTGCCTAATTTGGTCAGTGCTTTTATTGTTTGCCCATCGTACAAGGCGTTGTTATTTCGCTGCTCTGTTTACACGCACTTTTAACGTGTGTTTATTCGGGCGTAACATAAACTAATTGAGGCATTCACTCCATTCAGCTGCTATACGCGCGGCGTATGCGCAATCCGTACACCGCCGTGGGCCAGTCACGTTTATACACTCTGGCCAGCCATAAAGAAGTGCCTTGAAATTCACACATACATGCAGTTGCAGCGAAATAAAAAGCAAAACATATTAGAAAACTCTTAAGCTATAAATGTGTAGAAGACAACGTGAATACCCTATAATTTAACATAAGCAGAAATATATTTAAAATTTAATATATGTTTAGAAGGGAGAAAAATTGAGAAAGGGGCATTGGCTTCATATTCTTTAAGCAGGCATAAAAAAATGTATATAAGTATTTTAACGGTATTTAACACCTAGTTATAACAACAAAATGATTCAGCCTGAACCCTATTCTGAAGGGTTTTGAACTGATTTTACCCAATATCTGATTTGGTTAGGTAATCTGATCCTGTTGTGACACATGAATCAACAGCCTTAAACTGTATCGCGTTTCAACTAGAATGCATTTAAATTGGTTTTTTATTGTAAACGAAATGAAACGAACATTTTTCTGAAATAATTGCTATTTGTTTTTGTTATTAAAAAAAGTTTGATTTTGATTGGCAAATCAATTTATTAAAAAAAAAATAATAATAATAATTGAAATTGATTTTCTAAACGGTAATTGTAGAAAAAGCAGCTATGGAATACAATTCTTAAGAGCTGGATAAGTTAAATCAAATAATACTGTTGAAGTGTCAAGCAGTATGAGATTGCTATCATATGAACAAAAAGAACCAAAAGATTCTGAATAAATTGTTAACAAATCAAAGAATATTGTAAGGGCAACGCAACTTTTAATTATAAATTTATTATACGGTTAAGAAACCTTAAGATGTACTGTTATATTTCTACTTGATTGGCTAACTATTCCGCTTTATTTGCTTTATTTTTGTCTGTTACATATTTTGCGACAAAATTAAAATCCTCCCACACGACAAGAATATGAAAAAAATACCTCACTTTACCTTTCCCTTGTCATTTGGCACTTGTCGCCGTCGTCATCGTCGTCCTTACCATCATTCAGTGGCGACCATCAAGTCTGTTAGCTACTAGCAGGCAGTCATCATCCTTGTCGAGTGAGTGGTCTTTGGCTTGGGGTTCGGCGTGTTTACCTGCTCGTGTGTTTTAATGAAATGTAAATGCAAACAAGCCGGCGACACAAAGTTGCGGCCAGCGCTCACATGAATTCGCGGTGAACATCAACAATATTTTGCCACTTGGTGGAAGTAATACGATTATTTCTCAGCTCTTCGCTCTACGAATTGGCACTTTCAAATTGTGAAATTGCAAAATGAAATTCAATTTAATAATTTGGCAAATGCAGCAGTTGTTTATAAGCTACGGCTTATGTCTGGCGGCTTGTGGCCATTAAATTTGTATTTATCTTCATTTGATTTCGCTTATTGGGGCTAAGCTCGGTACATGTGACTGAATGTTGCTTATCCGGGCGCCATAAATAAATCGCCAGAATTTTACTTTATGACAGGTGGCCTGCGAGGCATTTGTAGCTGGTGCGCTCTTGATTTGCCCCAAGGAGGCCATAAAACAGATTTGTGCATAATTTCAAAAACGTTTTGCGATTTGCAAGCAGTTCACTTAAGCTTTAAGTTATGGCAATGCATTAAATTCCTAATACAGAGCTGAGTTAGTCCTGCTCAGAGGTGTTATCGAAGCCCACTTCGAGCGCTAAGCTAAGCTTGTCAAGTTAATAGCTCGTTTTATGTTCGACTGAAATAAGTAAACATATTTGGCAAGTGTCGTAAAAAAGTCTTTATGGAGTTTGCTGTGTGAATCAGTCAACTCTTTTTGCTTAATACGAGAATTTTATTATATTATATAAACTTGTATAAATAGTTTTGAATATGAAACTTTTTTAGTATTTCGAACATGTTTTGTAATTTCCAAGAATATAAGCAATACTTGTATCAAGAATGAACTGAGACAGAAAATGCAAGTCTCGGTTTTCAATATGTTATTCAATGTTCAGGGCATTTTGGCTTTTGAGTTTTAAAACAATGAGTTTTTGGCAACATTCCAAAGAGCTCTATCAACTTCTAAGACTTTAGTTAGAACTCAACTTGACAACTAATTAAATTGAAATTTGCGCAGTTCTTCGAGTGAAAAATGTACGTATACGTAATTTGACTTAAGCTTTACTTGGAAACTTTACCCCAATTGTGTGTGGCCTTAAATTCTTGCCACACATTTAGCATTTCATGAGTTTGTAACTAGCCAAGGACGCCAAACCCTTTGGCAATATATCGTAGAACTTTCCCTTGACATGGTCTAATTCTAAGCAAATCCAAACACTGAACAAGTTGCAAATTTGTTTGTGAATGACCAAAATAAATAAGTTTCTTTTCAGGCAGCCGACCCTCGCCCCTCTTTGTATTCGGGTCAAAGGCAGAGAGCGCAACACTTGACTTTAATTAAATATAAGTTTATATCACAAGCTCTTAAGCTACTAAAGCTGCTTCTAATGACTGTTGGGCAACTGGTTGCATAATGTCTTCAATTTCAATTCACAAATCGGAAACACTAAGTGAAGCACAGCAAGAGAACTTCCTGTACTCGTCAATACGGGGATATTTCGTTCATTGATTTATGCTGATTTCTTTGATTATATTTTGTGGCTTTCGCTCAGTTTTGTTGGTTTATTGTGTCGCCTGTCGCATTTTCATTAATTTATTGCAGCCAAGGGCAACTGATTTCACTTTAATTCAATTTATTTGTCGATACATCGAACACCAATAACAACGACGACAATAGTGGCCATCAAAATAATCACAGCAAATGAGCGAAATAAGCGACAGTTAAATACCCTACAGCAAGGCCTAATCAGCCATTGGCTATGGATGCATAAATTGATGTATATACAATTTTATCTATAATTGGTTCGAACAACACTTAGTTGACGCTCGAGGTACTCAACTACCAAATACCCTGCAAGCCGTTTTCTATATACAATTGTCTAAGCAGCTGAGTCTGTTGTATGGTGATTCCTTGTTGTTTTTTGCTATATTCCGCTACTGTTTTTCACTGCCACTTTATCAACTGTCAAGCTACAGGGTATTGTAAAAACAATGACATTTTGTATTTGTTTCATGTTCATGATTGCGATGCGATTGGCGATTGGCGTTTGCCAGAGAGCTGCCAAGGGCCGTGCTCGGGCCAAAGTCACTTAAATGCTTATCTGTGGAGTTCCATCGGGCAAAGCAAGCCAAATCAAAAGCTGAGTGTGCCTTCGGTTTTCGACCAACTATGGCTATTGAGTGTGTATGTGTGTGTGTGTGTCGCACCACGCATTTGAAATATATGCACGACAAATTCATTATTATTTTGCCTACCTACACTTTGTGGCTTTGATCC